GATGAGGGTGAAAGGAGAGAAGAAGGGGCCCAGAGATTCTAAGTAAGGGAGGTGGTGTCTCCTGAGTTCCAGGGCCCTCCTGCCACTTAGGGAAAATTTTATGGAAGGGTGTGACCAGGGCTCTGAAGATCTGTGAGCTGAAGTTTCAAGGCCATGAAGGCTGCCAACATTGTGGGTCAGCAGCAAGTCACTGTGCCTCCCACCCTGTGCCCAGCGGCCCCCTCTGTCTCCTTCAGAAGAGTCAGATCCTTAGCGGTGGCTATGGGAGTAAAACCTGGGTTGTTTTGATTAAAAAATAAAATCTGTTTTCCTCAGAAGGCTGGTTCTGTGTGGGCATGCTCAGAGATGGTTATCGCCTTCTAAGACCGCCAACAACCAGCCAGAAACAGCTGGGAGATAGGTCTCTCCCCAGCCAGCAGGCGGCTTATCTCTTGCCAACCTCCCCATCTCACGCCCCCATCCCCCAAATACGCCCGCAGAGCGTTACTAGCTACCAGGCTCTCTTCTTTACCACAATAGGCGGCAGATGGCTAAGAAGGGCCAAAGCGAACACAAAGGGGGCCCAGGTTCCAACTTCAAGAGAGTCACCAGCAGACTGCCCGGGGCACAGAGGAGCCTAGTTAGCGGCAGGAACCACTGGTGGAACTCCAAGCTGTTGAGGAGGCGCAACTGCGCCTCTTTCTCCCATAGGAGACGGGGGACCCGCAACGGCATCCTTCGAGGGTCTCAAAATCTTGAGGGTCCAGCAAGGAAGAGGAGCCCGCACTCCGACCAGCAGGTACTCCATCTCCCGGGACAAAAGCTAGGGACTCGGGATCGCACTCCAAGACAAGGGTCTGGGCCCCCGAGACCGTGGAGGGCGCGACTAACGATACCCACCACGGACGGAGACCCGAGCGCAGGGCTGCCGAGGGAAGCCATGACCCAGGGTATGGGGGACGGCGTGCCGTCCTGGGGATTGGAGGATGGCAACGGAGTCCTGGAGCTGCTCGCGTGGGTGACCTTCCCCCAGAGTCAGAGGAAAGGCCCTGGCAGTGAGGGGACGGATCCTGGTGGCGCGAGCCCCTCGGTGTGCGCTCACCTGTTAGTGCCTCCTGGAGCGCCCCGCTGAACACCTTAAGCCTCTGCTCGCTCACGCAGCCCCGGGTCCTCAGGAGGCTAGAGAGGAAGCCCACGGCGGCGGCGATCTCTGGGAGCATGTCGGTTCCCTTCCCGTGGCTCATACTGCGTGCGGTTCGGGGAGCAGGAGCGGTGGGGAGGAGGATGTGCAACTGCGGAAGCCTCCACTGGCCTGGCCGCCGCTCGGGCTCTGCCCGGACTTTCCCCGGTGGCGCTTTTCATACTGTTCGGGTAAGTAGTGGGGGAGTTGGCGGCGGCACCCATTGGCTGCTGTCAGCGGATGGGGGCGTGGCCGGGAGCCGCCCCGCCCCTCGCGCTGGCTCTTGCGCCCGCTCCGCCGCCGCCTCTTCTGCGCTGAGGTCATCGCTCTCTGACGTCAGTGCTGGGAACCTGCGCTGGGCTTGGGATCCCAGCGAGGCGGGAGGAGAAAGCTAGGGCTCGCGGGGTCGAGGGCTCTGGGCGGAGGAAAGCGGCACCTAGCGTGCTCCACGTCTCTCTGCCCGTCTTTCGAGGCTCAGATTTAAAGCAACCTCCTCCGAGAAGCCTTGGCTGATACCACGTCTCCCAAGAGGTTCCCTTTTCTGACTCCCATGGCATTTCCAGCCGCACACTGTCAGGACGCTTTGCCAGCATTTTACCGCCTTGCCGTGTTTCCCAACTAGTCAGAGTTGTTTTGGTTATTTGGGGACGGGGGCTAAATCTTCTATTTACTTCCATAATAATTCCACCTCCCCCAACAAGTTCTGCTCTTCCTCTTAGCAATGCCTTTTCTCTTGCTTAGAAACACTCAAGTCTCGCCTATTTGGTGGGTGCGGGTCGGGGGGAGTAATACAAGATTTTTTTGTCCTCTCAAGTTATTTTTCTAGTTCTCACTTTCCTGATGTGTTAATTTTTAAAATCAGTGGTCTTTTCTCAACTGTACATTTTAAAATCCTCTTTCTCCTCCTCCCCTCCTTTCATCAGCCCTCTTCCTTTTTCACTGGATTGAAGTTTTGTAACTACTGGCTCCTCAGGGGCAAGAATCCAGCCTCAGTCTCCTTCTACATTTAGTAGAGGTCTGCTGAATGGGGATAACTTCTAATATCCCAGAGCCTAGCACAGGGTCTGGCATACACAGATGCCTGGTATTTGTTACATGACTCAGAACCAATAGCCTCTGTAAATTCCTATTTTCCTTGAACTCTGGGCTGTCTGACCACCCTCTGGAAGCAGTGTCCCCATCCTTTTCCTTGTCACCGTGTCTTTCCCTGGCTATGCCTCTCCTGTATCCCTTCCTGTTCCCTTGCCCACACTGTGTTCCCAGTACTCTTCCCTTTTCTCCCCACTCTCTTTCCTCAGAGGGATCCTATCATATAGTCCATTTTGATGTTTACTTTTTTCCAGTGGCCTTTCTCATCTGCACAATCTGTCCTCATGTCCTACCATTGTCCTCTTCCCACCTGCTCTGTCCCCTCCCTCAAATGTCCAGCCACCACCCCAACCTTGGCACAAGCCCACTGTCTTCTCCAAAGCCAGGTCCCTTCCTGATCTCCAGTGCTGTGACAGATATCATCACTTTCCCTGCCTCTACCCAGAAAGCCCAGACTTCTTGTAACCTCCCCTGATACTTTGCTGCTCAGATCCAGTCCCAAAGCCTAATGTTTCTCATATCAAGAGGTGCAGGGGCCATTGTCCAATCCCAGCCCCAAACCTCCCTTTCCACTGTTCCATTTTCCCGCTAGATTAAATCTGGATTCCTTTGCCTAGTAAAGGAATAATTGAGCCCCACCTGCCTTTTTAGGTTTCTGCTACTTTGTGCTCCAGGGTCACTCTCCTCATTGTCCTCTAAGTATCACAACAGCTCTACAGCCCAGATCCCCCAACAATTTGCCCAGGATCTCTGCCCTATAAAGTGATTCCTATTCTGTGCATGCCTGAACATTCCTGGCTCTGCTGCTTCAAGGTCAAGTCCTTGTCTCCTGGATACCTCATCGCCTCCCACCTCTCTTGATCCCCCACACTCCTGAAGGCACAGCTTAAGCTTGGTCTCCTACCTTGAAAACTTGTGCTGATCATTCTCCCAATGTTGAATTAATGCCATCTGTACCATCCACCGGGCATGCAAAATCTGTGGTTTGGTTTTGTTAGTGGTCTTTTTAGAGGTTGACATCTTGTCTCAATAGCAAGTTACTTGAAAACAGGTTACCATACCCAAATTACCCACATTTTCAGAACAATTTAGATTTCAAATAGTCTGCTCGACTGCTTCATACAACCCATCAAATTGTCCTGGAATGCTAATATTTTGGTATTAAACACATCTCTTAGATTGCCTCTTCACCAGATCCTTCCCACAAGCTCGATCAGACCAGAGAAGACCATCACCTCTGCTCACTGAGGGGAAAAAATATTTGTTACAGGAAACAGGGCTAACACTGGAACAAGATAATCTAGAGATGCATCAAACAAATGAGACCAGGCATCAGCAAGGCCATTGACCAAGGTCAACCACCAAGGAAGCCAGGGAAATAGGTCAAAGTATAGACAGCTCTATAAGGTCGTTCAGCACCTACATTTGAAAACACTCAATGTTTTCCTGGCTGTGTCTGTGATGGGGGTGAGGTGTTTCTGGGCCTTACATCTCCTACTGCCAGAATTGATGGGGGGAAAAGATCTTTTGACAGACCATCATCTGTTTTTTTGCCTTAGGAAATATAATTCTTTCTTTATATGGATTTTTACATCATTTGCCAGAGCTCACAGTGAGTTCTCAATAGAGCCAGGACTGGGGCCAAATTTGCTGACTTCAAGTGTGGTCCCCTTGGTACTGAATGTTCAGCTATATTTTTTTAAATGTTTTTTAAAGAAGTAGGATGACTTTCGTTAGGCAGGGGAGCCCACAGTCCCACGGAGCTGTCATTCCAGGTGAGCAGGCAGCGAACAGGATGGGTGTAGGGAGGCTGCAGCCCCTTGTCTCTCCTCCGTTACCTGGGGCATGTCTTTGCCCCCTCACTAGTGACTGGTTTGTGAGCTTTGCATAGGGCAGAGATGACCCATAAGAGCCAGAGGGCAGTTCCCTACTTTCTTATCCTCTTTTTTTCCACACACAAGCTTAGGGAGAGGAAGCTTCATTTAGGTTTTCAGATCAATTTCTCATAAGGCCAAATATATTATAGTCATTCCAGTTCCTTTTGAAATTTCCTGAGACTGCTCTTAAACTGCTAGAGCCAGGAGCCTTAGAAGCTCAAAAGTCAAGACTTCACTCCTTCTCTTTCCTTTTGTTTTGTTTTTAATTTTATTTTAAGATGTGGGGTACAATTCAGGATTGGGTATACAAGTAGTCATTGTACAGGTAAAGTTTCGTTCTCCCTTTGGTCCCACTTCACCTGGTTTGAGATCGAGGTCTCTTTCCTTTTGAACATTGTCCATGGTCTCCCATTCCTTGGTGTGGCCAAGGTATAGTCTGAGCACCAGGGTAAGGAGAATAGGTCCCTCTCTCTCTCCCTACTTCTTCCTGCTCCTCTTCTTCCTCCTCCTGCTGCTCCTTTTTGTCTTCCTCCTCAATGTAGACACCATTTTCAGGCTCCTCGTTCTCCTATTCCTTCCTTCACCCTTGCCCCAACGACCTTGAGTTGAATGTTGAACTTTAAGAGTGCTGTGCTTGTGAATCCACCCACTGAAGAGGGGGCATGGAGGTGAGTGAGGGTGGACTTCAGTCATGTCTCCTCTAAACCAGAAACTTCTGTGCCATGTAACCCCTGACCCGCTGGCTCCTCTGGAAACAAGATAATCTGAAGGTGCATAAACCAAAGAGACCAGGTATCAGCAAGGCCAAGAATTGACCAAGAACACCCACCAAGAAAGTCAGGGAAATTAGTCAAGGTACAGACAACTCTACAGGGTCATTCAGCACCTAAATCTGAAAACACTTAACGTCTTCCTGGGTGTGCCTGTGACAGGGGTCCTGCTAACCGATCTCACCCACTTGTGTGGCCTACTTGTGTGACGTACTCCACAGTGACCCACAGTATTCCAGACAGCTCTCCTCAGACCATATTCCCACCCAGAGTCAGGTCCCTCTCCTCAGGCCTCTGGCCCTATCTGTGGGGTTAGCAAGCAGGTCCTGCATGCCACTTCCCAAGCAAAAGAACCAGATCGTTGTATGTGATTTCTTCCAGTACGGGGACTTGGCTTGGTTGCCTTCTCAATTTTCTGACCATAAGTAGAGACCCAAGACTGAGTGAGGCCAATGTGTAGGAAGAGGCTGGGCTATGATATTCCAGGAGGATAACATCAGCTCACTCCTACGCTCTACAGTGTGTGGTTCTTAGTAATTTCTGTGTGTGTGTGAGTGTGTGTGTGTCAGTGTGGGTAGGGAGAGCAGTATATATATTTAAGTGAGCATAAGTACTTAAATTTTGTGTGTGCTCTGATGTTTGTGGACAGGAGGGAATATGGATGTGTCAGCAAATGTTAATAAGCACTTGTAACATCATCTGTTGAAGAAGGTTGTCTTATGAAAGGTGGGTGTTTTGGCGGGGTGCACATTTTGGCGGACTTTTTCCGAGTATGTCTAGTGCAGGTCTAATTCGATCTTTCCTCTTTACAGACTTCAGTGGTGACAACTTCACTGTGCTGCCCAAAGCTGATAAGAAACATTACCCAGGGAGGAGCAGACACCTCTTCCTTGCTTCCTAATCAGGGTGGAAATACTGCTAAATATATCCATCACTCTTTGCAAGCATTGGTGGGTAATGTCCAGGACATCTTTTCCAGGTTTCCTATCATCTCACAATACTGAATGCTTCCAGGTCAGCTCTTAGGCCAACTCGTCTGGGAGTTGTTCTTTAGACTAAAAAAGAGACATTAAGAGCAGAAGAAAACAATATTGTCTCTAAAACCTGCTAATGATGACTGCAGGAAAGTGGGGATGTTAGCTATTTTTACAGTTTCTGTCTCTTTAGCCCCTTCCCCCTCATCCCAGAGTGAACTGATAGCAGGGACAAAAAGAGATAATGCAAAAATGATTAGGGTTGAGGGTTAGTGGAAAACGACCATCTGGACTGAAAGAAAGCTTGTTAAAACATAAATAAACACAGGGATTTTTATCTGCAACTCACAACAATTTTCAAGTCCCTGAGGACCCCCTTCTGAGAACTCACTGAGGGTAGGAAAAGAGTATGGAAGCTAAACATCACCTGTTCCAACACTTGCTCTGAAGATAGAAGAAGCACAA